ACACCTTCCTTTTTCGCGCCGTTGCGCAAATCAATACATGTACATGTAGTTTGAAAAGGCTCGCCTTATCGCATGTTCCATTGTTTTGTCAACGTTCGTCTGGCCATTATAAGGTAAACGAACAAAGCGAGTTTCTTCGAGCGTTACATTTCGACTTCAACAATACATCGACATTATAACTGTCTTTGTTATAACAATTCTGTCAATCTTCTTCACTCCAGACGCACATTCCCATTTCGCCCCGTTTGATAATTCAGGTGTTTGCAAGGCTCGCCATGTTGCACGTTCCATTCGTTTCGTCAACGGTCGTGTGGTCGCTAAGGTAAACGCACAAAGCGAGCGCACCTGAAAGAAGTTTCTTTGAATATTAAATTTCGATTTCAACAAGACATCGACTGTATACAGGACATTTACACATCATATCACAAATATATCCTTCAGTCGCACGTATCTGTTTTGTCTTTGTCTGGAGCGATCAAGCGGCAAGGATCAGTTTAGACTATACGCATTGACATATTTGTTACTGATGTCACGTACTAATTGTATTGATTAATGAGGTTGCATTCGAGTGAGCGTATTCTAAATGTTCTTTCCAATTGAACAAAGCCACGGATTGAGAAGCTATTGATTTTAGGGGTTCTTTCAGCTAATTTGTTTAAAAAGACAACTTTTTTTATTACCTCTGTTCATCAACCGCTAGCCAGTTATACATCGTATGTATCTTCTGGTTTATTCGTGTAGGGCAGAATAGGCCTGGAAACATATGTGACGTCAGCTGGTTTTGTTGACATGTGCGCGTGGAGCTTGGTGGCTCTCATATCGCCACATGGCTCCCATAGGAAAGCGTACTTGTAAACAAAGCATGACGTCATTGTGTCTCAGATCTATTCGTTCCGATTTTTGGTTTCAATATATCAAATCAAGCACGATATGTCACATCAAGCACAGCTTGTAGAAGACACTTGTGTGTAGATTGTATAATATGGTGATGTTCTTTTGGAGAGGCGTGCCTAAACCCACGAGAGCAGAAACATCCCCAATACACTGCGCCTACCAACTTGTGTAAGCATGGTCAGTTTGGGCAAACGAAATTGGCATTACACGTACTAGTCAGGCTTATTAACTAGAAAATTTGCTGCGAATATGATAATATAGTCTAAACCTACAATTATCGGAATGTATGTTCTGTTTAGCGACTAGATTTCTCAGTCAGTTCTAAAGAACATTTGTTTTTGTTTTGGTTGACTGTGTTGCTTTAAGAGACCAGTCTGCCGACGGGGTTGTTTGTGCCAGGTACGTCCGTTGCTCATCCATAATCGCCGTCTGCGTGGAATCAAATTGAAATTGAGAGATCAGTAACGACTTTACGGTGTCACATCATCCGAGGAATTGTATTACATCTATATGTTTCTCATTAGACGCGCGTGGTCGATATTAAACGAGAATTCTCTAGACATAGAGGCCAATTCTGTCGATCTTCTACACTCCGAACACACCTTCCTTTTTCGCGCCGTTGCGCAAATCAATACATGTACATGTAGTTTGAAAAGGCTCGCCTTATCGCATGTTCCATTGTTTTGTCAACGTTCGTCTGGCCATTATAAGGTAAACGAACAAAGCGAGTTTCTTCGAGCGTTACATTTCGACTTCAACAATACATCGACATTATAACTGTCTTTGTTATAACAATTCTGTCAATCTTCTTCACTCCAGACGCACATTCCCATTTCGCCCCGTTGGATAATTCAGGTGTTTGCAAGGCTCGCCATGTTGCACGTTCCATTCGTTTCGTCAACGGTCGTGTGGTCGTTAAGGTAAACGCACAAAGCGAGCGCACCTGAAAGAAGTTTCTTCGAATATTAAATTTCGACTTCTACAAGACATCAACTGTACAGGACATTCACACAACATATCAGAAATATATCCTTCAGTCGCACGTATCTGTTTTGTTTTTGTCTGGAGCGATCAAGCGGCAAGGATCAGTTTAGACTATACGCATTGACATATTTGCTACTGATGTCACGTACTAATTGTATTGATTAATGAGGATGCATTTGAGTGAGCGTGTTCTAAATATTCTTTCCAATTGAACAAAGCCACGGATTGAGAAGCTATTGATTTAAGGGGTTCTTTCAGCTAAACTTTTTTACGACAACTTGTTTTATTACCTCTGTTCATCAACCGCTAGCCAGTTATACTTCGTATGTATCTTCTGGTTTATTCGTGTAGGGCAGAATAGGCCTGGAAACATATGTGACGTCAGCAGGCTTTGTTGACATGTGCGCGTGGAGCTTGGTGGCTCTCATATCGTCACATGGCTCCCATAGGAAATAGTACTTGTAAACAAAGCATGACGTCATTATGTCTCAGATCTATTGGTACCGATTTTTGGCGTCAATATATCAAATCAAGCACGATATGTCACATCAAGCACAGCATGTAGAAGACACCTGTTTGTAGATTGGATAATATGGTGATGTTCTTTTGGAGAGGCATGCATAAACAAGAGCAGAAACATCCCCAATACACTGCGCCTACCAACTTGTGTAAGCATGGTCAGTTTGGGCAAACGAAATTGGCATTACACGTACTAGTCAGGCTTATTAACTGGAAAATCTGCTGCGAATATGAGAATATAGTCTTAACCTACAATTATCGGAATGTATGTTCTGTATAGCGACTAGATTTCTCAGTCAGTTCTAAAGAACATTTGTTTTTGTTTTGGTTGACTGTGTTGCTTTAAGAGACCAGTCTGCCGACGGGGTTGTTTGTGCCAGGTACGTCCGTTGCTCATCCATAATCGCCGTCTGCGTGGAATCAAATTGAAATTGAGAGATCAGTAACGACTTTACGGTGTCACATCATCCGAGGAATTGTATTACATCTATATGTTTCTCATTAGACGCGCGTGGTCGATGTTAAACGAGAATTCTCTGGACAAAGAGGCCAATTCTGTCGATCTTCTACACTCCGAACACACCTTCCTTTTTCGCGCCGTTGCGCAAATCAATACATGTACATGTAGTTTGAAAAGGCTCGCCTTATCGCATGTTCCATTGTTTTGTCAACGTTCGTCTGGCCATTATAAGGTAAACGAACAAAGCGAGTTTCTTCGAGCGTTACATTTCGACTTCAACAATACATCGACATTATAACTGTCTTTGTTATAACAATTCTGTCAATCTTCTTCACTCCAGACGCACATTCCCTTTTCGCCCCGTTGGATAATTCAGGTGTTTGCAAGGCTCGCCATGTTGCACGTTCCATTCGTTTCGTCAACGGTCGTGTGGTCGCTAAGGTAAACGCACAAAGCGAGCGCACCTGAAAGAAGTTTCTTCAAATATTAAATTTCGACTTCAACAAGACATCGACTGTACAGGACATTCACACAACATTATCAGAAATATATCCTTCAGTCGCACGCATGTTTTGTTTTTGTCTGGAGCGATCAAGCGGCAAGGATCAGTTTAGACTATACGCATTGACATATTTGCTACTGATGTCACGTACTAATTGTATTGATTAATGAGGATGCATTTGAGTGAGCGTGTTCTAAATATTCTTTCCAATTGAACAAAGCCACGGATTGAGAAGCTATTGATTTTAGGGGTTCTTTCAGCTAAACTTTTTTACGACAACTTTTTTATTACCTCTGTTTATCAACCGCTAGCCAGTTATACTTCGTATGTATCTTCTGGTTTATTCGTGTAGGGCAGAATAGGCCTGGAAACATATATGACGTCAGCAGGCATTGTTGACATGTGCGCGTGGAGCTTGGTGGCTCTCATATCGCCACATGGCTCCCATAGGAAAGCGTACTTGTAAACAAAGCATGACGTCATTATGTCTCAGATCTATTCGTACCGAACTTTGGCGTCAATATATCAAATCAAGCACGATATGTCACATCAAGCACAGCATGTAGAAGACACTGGTTTGTAGATTGGATAAAATGGATTTCAAAAAAATACCAATAGATGAAATAGATTAGGAACGTATATATTTTCAGGGTGTATTAAAGAAGCAATCCAACAATAATGGGTTAATGTGAGGGTGATGAACTTAAACACTGCCAAAGTGGATCTTAAAGGGTAGTTCATTATACATTAATACCTTATTTGCATCTGTGCAGTCATGGATGACCGAACAAAAAAAGGCAAACTCCACTTTTTCAACATTTTGCCTGATTGAGTTGTGAATTTCACTGCTCAAAAAGTGCGCCCTCGCAGTGGATTATGTGTTGAATGGGGAGGACATGTTGAATGTGTTTGAGTTAAATGGAATATCATGTTTCATGTTAAATACGTCGTATCAAAGATTGTTTTGTTTATTCAGTAAAATAATAACTGCCAATAGCAAAAATGTACTCAAATCGTAGCTTGAGCATCGGCTTTGACTTTGGCTTTTGCTGTGCCCATTGCAAGCTTTTGATAAAAACATTTTGACTTGGGAAAGTTAATTAGATATGATACACACAATCTTGGGAATGGTTATTTAATAAACATGGACAAGATTACTATGAACCATCTCAAACATACCCTTTTCAACGCACTGTCCACAGCGACAACGCACTCTTTGGACAGCTCAACTCGCCACTTATTCAGCAACGTTGAAACAAAAAAATAGGGTTTTTTGGGTCCGTTTTGCATTGTTCCAAATGTTAAATCCTCATTCTATTGAAGTGGGTATTGGACACAATTATCACACTTCACTTCGTGTCAGTTATCCGAGTTCAGATTTTGTTTGGTTTGTTTAGATCGGCCTAAAAGCCCTTTTCCGATTTTGACGCGCTTGGTGACGTCAAAGCTATGAATTTTGGGTGTTTATTTAATGGTTCCGTGCCATGTCACCGGCAGTTCATAGTACTTTGAGTATTCTGTAAAGATGTAATTTTGGAGGGTAATGGGTGCAGTGGAGTTTAACTTGGGTCGAGGACTGTAGCTGCCAACAAAGGGTTTCCGAACAATGAAGCATTGAATGCGGATTGTGAGCGCGGCAGGGCATTCCTCGAAATGCACGAATCGTTTACCTACCCCCATGTTAGCTAATGCAGTAAGCTTACGTATAAAACGGTGTGAGTGTAGCTGGTTATGTGGCAAGCATCCACCGCGTGTATTATTAGTACAGATTGTCGCTTATTGGAACGAGACATCGCAAGGTAAGAGGAAATTTTCTTCACTCACGATGTTGAGACTTTAATATTCTGTTCTGAAATATGAAATTGCACTGACCAAAGAAGGAACGGTTAAGTAATTTGAGGTATGGTTTGTGATCTCTGCAGTACATTCACAAAAGCATACGAGTCCTTGGATCGTTGAAGTTTTACTGCATGTATGGATGGGGCATGATTTAGTTTCGTTTATGACTGACTCGAAATCAGAAAACTATGCAGTTATGATCAGAAGACTTGTGTTAATGTAACAAGTGGCATTTAATTGTTTAGGATTCAAAAAATTTATTATTAACTTCATAACATCATAACGTCAGCATACATTCAGTTACGTTTAATTTTGGAGAGCTGGCATGTGATCAAAAGGCCTAGGCTACTTTTCGAGTTTTGTTTTATTTCCTGAGAGTTTCCATAATTCGCGCAAGGCTTGTGCGTTCTTTATGCCTCTCTCACTTCATTGATAGTTATTGGAACCTTTGAATATAATTGTGTTAAATTTGTACAAATGTTAGAATCAATGAACCGTCTGAAAGTAAGAAATAACAAAATTGTATGTCATCGCTGTTTTGCAGCATTGCTAATGTTGCTAGCATGGTGACTTTGGGCGTGCTCCCTGGCTACACGGCATAATTAAACGAGTTGATGGCGTCTGACTAGCGCCCTTGAGCAACGATATTAGAGACCATTAGAAATAGTGCGGGTATACAGGATACGTTTGCGGCTCGGATCAATCCGCCTATTAAATCACCATTTTATGTGGTAAGTTCACCAGACTTACGTAACACCTTGCAATATTTTGATGTGAGATGTATACATGTACATTGCCGATATTGTGGCCGAAGAAAATAACCATGCAAAATGGCGGTCATGACTTTTTCCGAGCCGCATACATATCCGTATCAAATCTAAAGGGAAAACCGCCAACATAGGGCAGGCTGGATAGCTCCTCTCAGTTGGTAGAGCAGAGCAGAAAATTATTATATCCCGGAGGTCGCAAGTTCAAACCACACTCCAGTCAATTTGTGTTCTTCTTTATCATTTTTTGGGTAATATTATGCACCTAGCCCTATATACTGCAGCTTCCCTTTGTGATTCAGGCCTATGGGTTGGGGGGGGGGGGGAGAACAATAGGCATTATGACCTTTCAAAGGGCATAATTCCATACTTGATATTTTCATATTTTCTGTAACCTTCATCTGGCAAATTAATGTCATCATGTGAAAGTGTAATAAGGCACAGACTGTGAAATGTTGATTGCATTTTGTTGTGATTGAAGATGCATATTATTCTGTGTGATCTGTTTTCCAGTTTCTCTGCCAAACTTGCCTGTGGTTTTGAAAGTTGCTTTTGGATTCACAATACAGGATTAGGTTCATAACCATGATGCTAAACACAATTCGCATAATGCTCAATGATAGTCACGAAAAGCAAGTTCCTATAGATTGGTGAGGCGATCATTCAAAAAGTTGTTGCTTTCATCAATGACCTTGGCTACTGTCGTACAATACTCTATTATTTCACCGAAGTGAATGATCACTCTGATGTGCGATCGACATTCACTCTCACCGACTGAAGGGACATGTTCAGAATGAAATTCATTCTCCTGATGACGAACTTAGCATACTGTTTAAAACGTCGAGTTAACCCAACAGGTTCTCTTCAGAACACATACTCACAAAAGAGAGATTTCCACATGGTGTTACCACAAACCTCTCACTTATTAATGAAATTCATGTAATCGAGTAGATTGAGTTTTTCACTCGAGTTTCCGCTGAATTGATTTCCCCAGGGTATTTCAATCTAAAAAATAAGAATGATTTTCATTTTTAATCATCTCGTCCCTGTTTTCACTTTTTGGAAATTAGACTGTATAGACAGTGCATGGTACCCTGACGACAGCGTTTGGTTTCCAACACTAGTGGTTTGAGGGTTCCCTTTCTACCTTCTCTATAATATTCAATAGATGTCCTCTCCTTCACTTCAGTACGATTTGGGATGCTCTGCTGATCATTAAAATATATCACGATCTGTCAACAAAAGTCAAACTTAATATTAAATTCGGAATGCTCAGCAGGCAGTATATCCAATTGGGACAATCGATTTTGAGGCCTAATTAGCCTGCGTAGTAATGACGTCACTCAGAGATCAACTCGCACTGCAGCGGCCCGAGTGAACACCGTGGTTTCGCTACGGCTGTTATGAATCCCTTTAATTGAGTTGATTCTTGATTCTCCTCTTTGAAGCGAAAATGTGACAACTGTGGTTGTATTGAAAGGCAGTGAACCATTTTCAGCATTTAATTTGGGAAAATGTTCTATAAAAGTAGGATGTAAATTTGCTGTCTGTGATCGTGTGTGTTAAACGTACGTGTGGAGCGCTGTGGTCCAATGGTTACGGTGTTCGATTCATGTGCCGTGGTACGTGGGTTCGAACCCAATAGTGCTTGTGTTCTTGGGCAAGGCACTTTACTACAATCGCATCTCTCTACTCAGTAGTGTCAATCGGTACCTGCGATGGTAGAGACTAGAAAGCACTGATCTCGAGCTGTCCCACTTTCTCAGCGTGTTGACTGCACTCCCTTAAAATCCCTGTGCTTCCTGATTACTATTTCTGTAACGTTTGCATCGAGGTGTTTTTTTTTTGGTGTGGAACGGACGTGCTCGGACTGCAGTTGAGCTCTTGCAGTTTGTTCAGTGATTGCCATGGCCGGCTTCGTGGTCTAGAGTATTGAATTCGTGGTCTGCGGGTAATTTTGCTGGTTGTGAGTTTGAGTCCAGCTTGGGGTTGAAGTGCGTGTGCCCTTGGGCAAGGCACTTTGTTACTCATTGCTTTTCCCCGGGGACGGCTGAGATGGCATAGCATTTGGAATGTTTCACTGGCCCAATGAGCAGGGTAATAATGATGTGGCGCCTTGAGCACCAATACTGGTGGAAATACGTGCGCTGAATTATAATATACATTATTATTTATAGTCCAGCTCTTCGTATGGGCCTAGTTTGTTTAGAATCAATAGAAATTGTTTCAGGTGCGAACAAACAACGAAACCAAAATTGAATGTAGTGGTCACGTGACTAGATCTCTCTGCTATGACTGTTCCATAATCTACACGTTCGCCGTTGAAAAAGAATCGATACGGAAACAAAATGTGGGAGGTCGCCTAGATGACCGGTTTTCCTTGACGATACCCGCGGGGCAAAGACGTCACAGATTGCACTGATTGTAAAAAAAAAAAAAAGATTGTCACTGCGGTATATACAAGAAAATGGTTACGAGTGCATTCACCCATTGAAACTCGATAAAGACCTGTTTTGCGTAATTGGCGAAGTCCGCTCATGAAGGGTTGCGTGCTCGTTTTGCCGTCAGCAAAACGGGAAAATACAATGCAACTGTATACCGTAAACATAATCGCAGTAAAGCTGGAAGACAAACTCTCGAAGCACTTGTGCGGTTTCTGCATGCTCGTAAGAATCTCTTCCAACACCAATTTTCGGATTCCAGCTTCCTAAACTCATTCCCTCGATATTCTCTCTCAAGGTATTCTATCCGTTCTGCTGTTACAACACTCTGTGATAAGACCTTTCGTGCGTGCCTCGATCTGTTAAAAAAAATCCCAGGGATTTAGTCGATTCCATCACAAGTCCATCACAAGTAACAGTTGATGAACAATATCGAATGCCGTTATAAAAGCTCATTTGAATGGCTTGTGAGTTGAATTTGGGACTGGAGGACTTGTGATGGACTTGCAGGGACTTGTGCACTGGAGACGAGTAGGCTGCATCTCTGTAACAAAATCACTTTTTCTAACACTAAACACAATGGCTTTTACTCATTGGCAGATCCAGGGGGGTGCTACGGGGGCGTGCGCCCCCCCCCCGGCAGTGACCCAAATTTTGTAAAATAAGGCCATTTTTCACTCGAATGAGCAGTTGCACCCCCCCCCCCCCCTCCCCGGCACGAACCTCTCTGGATCCGCCACTGTTACTGTACGGGCTCCGTGCACAAGTACCCCATCAACGACCAGAAAAGGAGAGTTGGGGCGACCTAGACTGGTTCCCGATCCATCCACTGTGTTTTTTGATTGTATCCAAAGTTATTGGAGGCGGGGATTAGTCTCGGAGACCAACGACGCGCGCCATGCTCACGCGATATCCATGGCGAAGACGCGGTGGCTAATAGCTTATGCACATTCAGGAAGTCGTGCGTACTTCGCGCGCGAACCAATACAGTACGCGCATGCTGTGTGTCCCGTCCACGTGGTCCACGGAGCTCTCAAAAGAGGTAAAAACGCGCCCTCTTTTGTTGGCACACGGAGCCCTATCTTTTCCCATCCCCGAAAAAAATTACTGTACAACTTTCGGAGGTGGGGCAACCTCGTTCCCAGGGCTTCCAAAAGTTTCAACCTCATTTCCAATAGTAAGCCCTGGATAGGAAACTTTCTTCCTGTGGACTGATTCGATACCGCAATTAGAAAGGAAGTTACATCGTGTAGGCTTCTTGGTGTTGCTATTTCCAACGTGCATTACGTGTTTTCACGTTCATTGTAATTATTACATCCACACCTTCTCAAAAATTATTCTTTCCTTCTCAATTTACTCATATCAATATGAAATGTGATACTGTATATTGGCTGGATAAGATTGTAACATTTTAACTTTGAACAAACATGTGTTTTCGTACCTGACGCCGCGGCGAGTTGATTCTGTTTTTACCCCAAACACCGCATTCAGAAACAAACGCTAACTTAAAACACAGGCAGGCACCAGACTTTTCCTAATTTGCACACGTATAAAAAACTATTGGATATGCAAATGATCCAATACCATTCCAATACCTGCTCGACACAATGAGATTGAGGTTGGTGGTGGGGTTGTTGGAAATTTGGGTGGAAAATTAGGGATGGGGAGGTTGGAATGTCCATGACCCCTACATATTGCTAGGAAAATACCCAATCTCCGTCCTGAAATATCGTCATACAGTATTCATGTCTC